AAAAGAATTATGATGGTATTTTCTTTTTCAAATTAAAAAATACATACCCTGGTAAATCACCATTAAAAGTTGTTTATCATAGTGATAGAACTATTGTCATCTTTGCTTATCAAATAATAAATATGGTGTTAAAACTTTCACACTCTTTTTGTATATTTGTGTTAAATATATTATGATTGTTCTGGAAAGTAATTCAAATGTTATAAGCTGAGGGTATTTTAGGATATTCATTAAAAATTTTGACCAAGTCTAAGGTTTGGTTACCAAAAATGTCAAATTAGGGGAGGTAGGTGTAATTTTTGAAACCTTAAGGGAGCTCAATAAAATTGTTAAAAATCTTAGGGAAGGTTTATGAAATTATCCCTTTCTTAAATCTTACCTTCTTAATTGTCTTTATGAGGAAAATTAATAAGCCATGTCACCGCCAGATGATGATAAAACATCCATCCTTGCTTGCATCAAAAATTAGTTAACATCTAAAGCATTGTGCATTGTTATTATATGTTGGATATTCTTTACTTTTTATTTACATTTTTTTTAACATTGTAGAGAAACTCTAGACCAGTACTCAAGGGAATTGAAAATCCTTGCCATCAAGGTCCTTCAGCAAATGACAAAAGCATTAGGAATGAAGCTTGAAGATATGACAATGCTTTTTCAATAAGGGCTGCAATCAATGAGGATGAACAATTATCCACCGTGTCCCCAACCTGAGCTAGTGATCGGCCTTTGCCCCCACTCTGATGCTACTGGGCTTACCATATTACTGCAAGTCAATGAAGTGGAAGGCCTCCAAATCAAAAAGGCTGGAGCTTGGGTTCCTGTTGTACCACTTCCTAATGCATTCACAGTCAATGTTGGAGACATTTTAGAGGTAATCATGCTCAAAATCCTTTCTCCCAAGATACAATGTGAATATGAGCAATCTCTTCAAATTGCTTTTCTGTTTATATAATTACAACATCTATCTATTTTTTGGCCTCCCTTATGAGATATTTTCAAATTGGTTTCTACAATTATGAACATATATGGAAATTAGAATGTCCTCCCCATATTTCAATAGTATTCAAGAGATAATCTTTCCGATTATGATTAGTATGCCTACACTAGGTTGATGTGTAAGACTAATTATCAACTTGCACCGCCTAGAAAATGAGGCCAGGTCAAAGTGTAGCTTTCATGCCAAAATTTAACTTTTGACAAATTTGTGCCTGAACTTCTAACTTTGGCTGCTTTGTCAGAGTTAACGAATGTTGTTTATTGGTAGAATATTGAGTACTTTAATAGAACACGTATCTTTATAAAGTAAAAAAAAAAGGGTTAAATACCAAAAACCCCCTGTGGTTTGACTAATGTTCACTTTACCTCCCTATAGTTTGGAAACCTACAATTTGACTCCCCGTCGTTTCAACTAAAGTAAAAGTCTGACGGAAAACATCTAAACTAACGTCTGAAAGTAAAATGTCAAAATTGCCCCTCTATAAGGGTTTTGGGTTAAGTACGAAAAACCACCCTGTGGTTTGTCAAATGTACACTTTACCTCCCTATGGTTTGAAAACATACAATTTAACTCCCTATCTTTTCACCTAAAGTGAAAATCTAACAGAAATTCCGTTAAATACACTTTAGTTGAAACGACAGGGAGTCAAATTGTAGGTTTTCAAATCATAGGGAGTTAAAGTGAACATTAGGCAAACCACAGGGGGATTTTTGGTATTTAACCCAAAAAAAAACATAAAATATATGAATGAAAAGGTCTTTATATTGAAAAAGCAGTTTTATTCATATTAGTAACCAATTTAATTGATTAATTACTTCATTATTCGAGTAATATTTCCCAAGAATGTAAAACTTGGGCGTAATAACTTAAAAATTAGTATTGTACATGCCCTTACACCCCACCCTCCAAATTATTGCTTACCTGTGATGTACGAGTGATAAAATTCAAACTACTTTCCTTTCATCGTTTTGAAAAAAGTGCTTGCTTTTTTCCCAACAAGTTTGTTATGATTTTCAGAAAGGAATTTACTTTTTGTCTTGATTTCAATGCTAATTACACAAGTTACTTACAAATCATGTCCTGGATATATCAGGGTATGGCTTCTGAATTCTATCTCCAATGTTTTTGGGGCATAACAGTAGTTATAGGTGGACTCACAAGATTGCCCTGTCAACTATATCCTATTATTGAGCCTAATTGAACTTTTATGAGAATGTATGCTACACAGTACACAGTTGGGAATAATGTGATTTTTTTAACTGAGATGCAGATTGTGACAAATGGGATTTACAAGAGTGTTGAGCATCGGGCAACTGTGAATTTGCACAATGAAAGGCTTTCCATTGCGACGTTTCTCGCCCCAAAATTGGATGGTGGTATGGGTCCAACGCCAAGTCTTATCACCCCTGAAAATCCAGCAATTTTCAAAAGAATTAGTATGATTGACTATTCAAAAGCCTTTTTTTCCCGTGAACTAGATGGGAAATCATTCATTGACGCAATCAGGACCCAAATCGAAGACTTTTAGGCTCTTAGTACCTTTATGATTTTTCTCTTTGAAACTTATATACACTGTTGACATGGTGTCCCCTCTTCATCGCCTCCCCCAACTTTCATTCACCACAAATTGTATAATTGTTTAAGAATTAATCCTGTATATACTGACACTATATATGCTATTAGATTCGAATGCATGACAACTAATATTAATTTAAATTTAAAATTTAAAATTTGAAACAAATAGTATGCATACAAGTCGAATACTGTATACATTATTAATGTATTGAAAATTAATCTATTTTTTAAATATGAAAGAGAATGATGAGTAATTGTATATGCTATCAACGACGTATTAGAAGTCTTTTTTATGCCAAATCTTGATAAGGGGAACCAAAAAAAACCAAAAAAAAAAAAATCTTTGCTATTTTACACAACTATAAATCTTTGAATATATTGCTATTTCATAAGTTTGATTTTCGTTTATTTCATATTCTATTCACTGACATAGCTTCACTCCTTCGAATCTTACCCCATCAACATTGTGGAAATTTAGCCAGATGAAACAGATTGGGAATGTTTTAAAAGGCAAAAGTGTTAGGCTGATGCCCCAATTCTAAGCGGACCTCTCACTATTCCCTTTTTTTCCCCTTAAAAGGTAAAACGTCAACTTCCAAGTGCATGGGATAAGAAACCTTAATCAATAGAAGAATTATAGAGTCAATGCCATGTCCACTTCTATCAACAGTTTGTCAAATTAGTTTCATTAACTCTAACATTTATCAAATAAATATCAATCTTACGTGGCAACATAGAAAAATCAAAAGGAAAACTATGTGCTGATATGGTATTAAATTCAAATTTTGGGTTTTTCTATTATGTCCTTATAAGTTTAGCACAGAATAAGCATATAAAATAGAAAGGGTGGACTCGCTATAAATTTCAGTTATTATTATTTATTTTTTAAATTATAAAATTTTGTACAAATAATTGGAAAGTAGGTGCATCTCCTATCGTGCGTCCTGAATGAAACAATTCTTAAAGTTTTAAACCTTGTTACTTGACTATATCTCAATCATCCATGTTGTTGCAAAGATTTGTTAATTAGACAATCATATACCAAGTATCACTCCGTTGCGTGATCTATCATCGAGGTGATTGACTGAGGCACCACAATTCGTCCTTGAGACTTCATTTTCATGGTTTCATTATTCAAAGCTAGAAATGAAACCATTCAATGCTATAGGTCACCTAACCATAGGGCAGCATAGACGCCAACTTTATTCACTTTCATTCTAAATTGGCCCTTCTAATGGCACGGGAATTAAGAGATGGAGAGGGGTCACGATCGGTAAGGATGCCCGCCCCGTAGGGATAGAAATGTGGCGGAGAGAAATGCGGAGTGGGACTAGGGGTTGCAGGAATTTGTCTCAGTACTATCCCCACCTATAAATTAAATAAATTAATTAATACATAACTATATTTGTCAATATCTATGTACATATTATATATAGTAGGGGTGGAGGGGATTTGTATCGGTACTATTCCCACCTATATATATATATATAGACACAGACACATACACATACACATACAGACATATACATTATAATTTGAAACTCATGATATCATGATTTGTGTGGTAAAATGATGATTTTGTTATTTTTAGTTTAATGAATTTTTTTTTGTGTAGTGCATGTTTGCAATAAGATAATAATAGTAGCAGATATTACTTTAGTTATGCTAATAAATACGGAAAAATATTTTTAAAAGACTAAAGTATATTTTAAACTTCATTTCATGTTGAATATAAGTTAAAAGTTCAAAAGATTGATTTATATAGTTATTTGTTGATACTATTTATGAAAAATTGTGAGGACTCGAAATTTCTATTATTTTAAAATCCCTAATTTTGGCTCAATTAATTATTTATTTGGATTTTTGCCACGAATAATATTTTCTAGCCAATTAGATCTAAGTACATGATTTTATAGTTCATTATATTTCTAAAGTGTCTCATTTAAAAAAAATAAAATAAAATAAAAATATAGATGAATAAACAAATATTTTCATAAAAACTTAATTAGTGAAAAAGTGAAAACGTATTTCAACTTTAGCCAATTGGGAGTGCAATAAGCTAAAAATTTAAGACATATACAATGGTCCTAAAATAGACAATTTTAGGTTTAAAACACACAAGTAATAACTAGTGGTACAATCGTTATAAGAATTTTTCAAAGGTTTCAATTTTATTGCGCCTAAATTAGAAATACGTGTTTTCACGTGCGCGCTTAATTGGGAGACTTTGGACCATTATTTTGAGACAACTAGGAATGAATAATATTTATACAAATGTAAGTGCCCTAGAGGTTTAGTGTACTAGTGCAACAAACGTAAGAGAAATCGAACACAAAACGCGAGTGTAGGGTACTAGTTATAATTGATTTGACGTATTAAAAGATTTGACGTCAAGCGTCTCTTATACGCAAAGGCTTCGGAACCGTAATTCATTTCCTTTCCTCTGCTGCAATGGACGGCTAGACTGCAGCAAAGGAACAACCGAAGCTTCACCATTTCTTCTCTTCCAAAACTCAACCAAATTCCTACCAAAACTTCCATAGATTCTCACCAAACTTCACATTCATTTAGCTTTTCACTTGGACAACAACATAGGCTGAAAAAGGGAGGAGCTTTCACGGTTTCTTCAAGCTTCAAAGGACCGAAAAATCTGTCCAAACCAGCCATCAAAGTAGGTAGCAATCTAACACCTTCAACTTGTCTTATGGAAGTTGATTTACGCATTTGAGTTGGAATCTTTACTTTAATAGCTTGTATTGTTGGAAATGTGGGCTCTATGAACTCCCACTTTGGGTTGATGGCTGTGATGATGTTTGATGATGGTTTATTTGCTGAATTAGAGCTTAAGGAAGTAGATTAAAGGTGCTTTGTTACCAGAAACGTTATTGAACTCTTGAAACAAAAAGTTTCCATTTTACCCCTGCTCTGTTCGGTCACTTAAATGCAGAAATTTGAGGATTTAATGGCTTGATTATGTTGTATATATGTTGTAGTAGTTGTGTACAAAATTTCATTGAAAGATATTGAGTTTTGATGGTCAAACGAATTTATTTCCAAAGCTAGTAATCTGGGAAAACGGTTGCCATTGTAACCAGACCAGTGTTCGTGTTTCATCCATAACTCCGTACTCCGACATTGAAATCAAGTGTCGTTAGTGGCATTTGAAACTAGACGTTCCCATGTTTCCAACGGTGTATAGTGCACATTCTGGTTTCATGTGTGTGAGACACACCATTCATCTGAAGTCGGCTGTCCTGTTTCTCCGTTCTGCCGAAATGATTTGATGATGCTGCAACTTGAGGCTTGATTTTGAACTAGTTTCGTGCTGAAACTTGGAACGATTTCTTCTGTAAAGTTGTATCCCTGTGAATGTATTTTCTAAAACTATCAAGGATTTCCAATTCCGAGTTAAATTGAGAGAGTTATGATCAAAATACGGCGACTGCCTCATTTTTGAAAACCTTAGCTTTGGACAGATTGCCTTAAGGATTTTTCCAAACTTTGGTTGATTGAATGACCACCCTTCCGAGGGTATTTTTCCATGAAATTTGATAGAGAGATAACCTTCATATGGAAGTATTATACTACAAAATTTGGTGTCAATCCAAGTCCGTTTAGGCACTTAACTAAAGGTCCAAAGTTGGAACCAAATCTGGAAATTTTGTAACAATCTTGAATTTTCCCCAACTTCGAGCTACCGTATCTTGGTACTCGAAACTCCGATTCTTGAGCCGCTTCCATCCAAAACTTTACTTGTAGTTCTAAGTGAGTTATAAGTTTCAAGGGCCGGTTTCCAACGAGTGATTTTTGCCGAATTTCCAAAGTTAGCGAAAAACCAACCCGGCTCAATCCTAGCAATCTAGAACAGCAACTTTAGGCTCATTTTTGAATGCCTTCCACTTAGATTCATGGAACGGTGTCTTCTAAGAACTTTTAGTACTTTCAAAGACGATTCCAACGGTACCAAATTCATCAAGTTTCGATTAGTAGAAAAGAAGTTATGATTTTTCAAAGATTTGACCAAAAATCAAAAATTCTGAAATTTCAAAGGAAATCCGCGAAGGAACAATTTTCCAGAATCCGCCTTGAATCCGGCCAGTTTCTGGCCGGATTGTCGGCCGGATTGGTGGCCAAAATTGAAAAAAGGGGGTTAGCCACTGCCTCCAATCCGGCCGGATTGTGACGTGGCCAACCTTCCTTCGATTTCGATCGTTCGTTTTGCAATCTTTTCGCTCGTACTTGTTTCCAACCAATGATTTTAAGGATAATAATCCAATTTTTGTACTTAAGTTTTACACCATTTTGAGAATTCAACTTCAAAGGCAAGTCAAACGAAGTTTTCAATTATTTTCGAACCTTACTCGTGTTCAATCTTTCTCACCACTTGGGGACCTACAGTAATTATCTAATATACGATGTTCAGGCACGCACGAGGACCTCCAAGAGGACCCTACTGTGGAAGTTTGAACTCTCCCTCCAACCTACTAGCTTGCATAACTTGGTGAGTGTCAAGTGTATGCCTACTTGAACTCTAAAGTCTTGATTCATGCTTGATTCACCTGATTTCATGCTTAGCTTAACTGATTTTGACAAAATGGAGTCGAGTGTGTACTTGATCGCACTCGTTCTCATTTGAAACGAATGACTCATGCTTAACATGATTTGCTTGGTTTACATGACTTGAAATGCCTGCTTAAACCTATCAAATGCTTGAATACATGAAATGGTATGCTATGATTGCATACGTCGATGGAGTGAATCTCCTCGACATTTACATGACACATGGGGACGCCCAAACTCATAGGCCGACCTTGGAACTCGAGCCGGCATGGGCTTGGTCGGGAACCTCGGTGAACCATGAGATTCAAATGATAAGCTTGATCTATTGAGAGATCTCGCTTGGCATACTCGTAAAGTATCGCCTTATAAATGTCGTGCGGGCCCGAAGTGGTGTATGGTGGACGGATGGGAAGTAAGTGGTGAACTACGGATATGAAAATATCAATCCGGTTGACGGAGAGTCATCACGGAAAGATATATAAATGGTATCGGCAAATGTGGAACTTAGCTCCTGAGAGCTTCTATATCCTTGAATTGTTTCTGGTTACAGTTTATTGGTGTTATTAATTACTTGCAAGCTAATACCTGAATTGTTATTTAGGATTGTTATCTGAACTATGTGTTTGCATGTGTGTTCTTGGCCTCACGAGCGTTTTGCTCACCCTGTAGATTTGTTTTCCTTAACAGGTTGAGTTCAGAGGTAAAATGGAGCAGCCCTCTTGATGTGCTTTTGTTTTAGGGTTGCTATTACTTTTGTTTATGCCTTTGGCTTTGGACGAAATGTATTATGTATGCTGACGGGTGGTTTGAAGAATGGATAACTGTTATTAAGTTTGAACACTTCCGCAATTATTGTATCTAAGTTATCGATTTGTATTGTGTGGTCCGGATATAAGTTGAATGGAATTGCTTGAGTCCTGGCGAGAGCTAGGCAGGCGTCCCGCGGATACCCTTTGGTTCGCCTTAGGGAGAAGTGGGGGCGTCACAGTTGGTATCAGAGCGCTAGGTTAGAGATCTATATGGGAAACATATTAGATACTCTACCTTAAGACTCGATATGGGATGACTTAGTCATACCCTAAGTGATACTTGAGGCGAGCTAGCAACTAAGTTAGTCCTACCTCAAGTGACAATTGGGATGAACCAATGATTAGGTTAGGCATGCATTGCAGGATATTGGAACTAAATAGAGATTTAAATTTCTAACCCAAAAGGTGCTATTATGTTGCAGGGATGGACAACGGAAATGGAGTTCCGGCAGCTAACGGGAATGGCCATGCTAATGGTCATATAGCGCCTCCTAGGCCTATCTTTTATCGAGCTTTGGCTGGGGAAGCTCGAGTACGCTACTCCCCATCTGACCGATATCCCCGATGTGCTTGTAGGGTGACCTTTGCTTACCCAAACCATGTTGTACTGGCTTGGACGACGAGCGTCGTCAGTTGGTGACTGCCAACTTAGACTTACAGGCTGAGGTCGATGAGCTTCGACAGATGGTGAGCGCTCAGGGCGAGAGGGTCGCCGAGCTTGAGGAGGTGATTGAGGGCGAGGTTGCCACATCTGCTGTGGTTAACGAGGAGCTCCGGAGCACTAGGGCTCAGCTTACTAGGCTGAGAGAGGAGGTCCGTAGTCGGGCTTCCGATATTGTAGCTGATGCCACTAGGCTAGTTGATGAGGCTATGGGGGTAGCCCAGGATTCTGAGGAGGATCCGGAGGAGGATCCTGAGGAGGAGGTTCCTCCTGATAGTCCTGCTGCGGATTAGGTCTAGATTGATCGACCTCTTTTGACTTTTTGACTAGTATTAGCAGGGGTGATGCTAAGTGCTGAGGCCATTGTATTTTGCATGACTGTGTGGCCTACTTCTGAGGCACTAGCTTTACTTTAGTCTTCTGTGACTAAAAGTACTCTTATGGCACCTGTGTGCTATATTTTTGTGATTACCCCCTGACTTGCTAATTGTATGAACTGGATATGCTAATTAATGTAAATTATTGTTAATTCCAATGTTTTCTTGATTGGTTCCTGCTTTCTATTTTGCATCGCATAATTTATTTATTTCTTGCACTAGGCACGCCTAGGTCATGGAAGGACTAAGAGGTTGTCGAGGTCGTGGTCGAGACCTAATCGAGGTCGTGGTCGAGACGTGGTCGAGGTCGTGGGCGAGGGACTAGTCAGGCCCAACCTCAAGGGGGTGACCAGGGATCGGCAACTGCACCGATCCAAGGTCAGGAAAATATTGAGGGTAATCAAGTGGCTACTGCCATTAATAGGATGACTGATATCCTAGAGCGTTTGGCTGATAGACAGGACCCTGGACCGTTCAACCAACCTGGGGGTCAGGAAAGAGGAATGGATAGAGCCTTAGAGAGATTCTTGAAATTTAACCCGCCTAAGTTTCTTGGCGAACCTGATCCTGAGGTGGCGGAGAATTGGTTGGAAAGGATGACCAATATATTCGCTGCTTTAGACTACACTGAGGATAGGCGAGTGAATTTCGCTGCTTTCCAATTTGAGGGGTAGCCCGTGCTTGGTGGGATTTGATAAAAGGAAAATGGGAGAGAACTCAAACCCCTTGGACTTGGGATAATTTCACAAGGGAATTTAATGAAAAGTTTCTCCGCCCTTAATCCAAGAGAAGAGGGAGGATGAATTTATCAAGCTGAAACAGGGAACCCTTAGTGTAGCGGAGTATGAAGGAAAATTTACTAAACTTTCAAAGTATGCTCCCGAACTGGTGACAAATGAGCGAAAAAGGATTAGACGGTTTGTTCAAGGACTTAATGTGGAGATACAAGAGGGCCTGGCCGCAGCCCAAATCTCTACATTTACTGAGGCTTTAGAGAAGGCACAAAGGGTTGAAAGTGCAAGGTCTCAAGTGAGAGACTTCCATAGCAGAAAGAGAAACTTTTCTAGCCATGCTTCTGGACAAGTTAGTAAAAATGTACAGCCTTCCAAAATGGGAAAAGGAATGGGAGGACCAAGGACTGCTGGACCTTCGAGAGGAGCTTTATCTAGAGGAGGTCGTAGGGACCGACACAGGCAAGAAGGGCACCTTCTAGCGGTTCAGCGGTGACCCTCAAGTTTCATGTGGTTACTGCGGAAAACCAAACCATTCTGAAAGTGATTGTTGGAGGAAGTCTGGGAAGTGCCTGGCTTGTGGTAGTACCGAGCATCAGCTTGCGAACTGTCCAAATAAAATGAAGACGGGAGGTGATACCCAAAGGCCAGAAAAGTCAGCTTCTAAGCAAACTAGTGCCGGAGGGAGTCGACCGAAAGTACCGGCTAGGGTTTATGCACTGGACTATCAACAAGTTCCTGAGGCAACTGAGGTGGTAGAAGGTACGATTCCGATCTTTCACCGTTTAGCTAGGGTTTTAATTGATCCAGGTGCTACACATTCTTTTGTAAACCCTAATTTCATGAATGGGATAGACTTGAAACCAATTAATTTACCATATGATCTAGAGGTTAAAACGCCTACTGGGGATCAAAGTCTAATTGCTAATTTGGTGTATCAAGGTTGTGAAATCTGGATTGGGGAACGAAAATTATCGGCTGATTTGATGGGATTGATGATTAAAGGATACGATGTAATTTTAGGAATGGATTGGTTAGCCCGTTATAATGCTCAGCTAAACTGTAGGACGAAGGTTGTGGAGTTGCGTATTCCAGGAGAGCAACCCTGAAACTGGATGTAAAGGGTAAATTAGCTTCGTCTGCACTTATTTCAGGAATTCGGGCTAGAAAGTTGTTAAGTAAAGGAGCTCAAGGATATTTGGCTTTTCTTATTAACACCCCTAGTGATAAAGTGAATTTGGAGGACATGCCTGTAGTGAAAGATTTTCCTGATGTTTTTCCTGAAGAATTGGAGTCTCTACCCCCGGAACGGGAAATAGCCTTTAAGATTGATGTAACTCCGGGAGTAACCCCTATTTCTAGGACGCCATATCGAATGGCTCCAGCCGAATTGAAGGAGTTGAAATTGCAATTGCAAGATTTGTTAGAAAGAGGTTTTATTAAAGAGAGTGATTCTCCGTGGGGAGCCCCAGTTTTGTTTGTTAAGAAAAGGACGGGAGTTTGAGGCTATGTATAGACTATAGAGGTTTAAATAATGTTACAACTAAGAATAAATACCCACTGCCCCACATTGATGAGTTGTTTGACCAGTTACAAGGGGCTGTAGTATTTTCTAAGTTGGACTTGAGCAGGGTTATTATCAGTTGAGGATTTTGGAGAAAGATATACCCAAGACTGCTTTTAACTCGAGATATGGGCATTTTGAATTTGCCGTGATGCCATTTGGGTTAACGAATGCTCCTGCTGCTTTTATGGATCTAATGCATAGGGTCTTTAAACCTTATCTAGACCAATTTGTGGTGGTCTTTATTGATGATATATTGGTGTATTCTAAGAATGTGCAAGACCATGAGAAACACTTGAGGGTTGTTTTACAGACCTTAAGGGAGCACCAATTGTATGCTAAGTTTAGCAAGTGTGAATTTTGGTTAAAAGAAGTGACTTTCTTGGGACACATAATTTCTAAGGAAGGGATTAAAGTGGATCCAGCTAAAGTTGAAGCTGTTTCAAAATGGAAACGACCGGAAAACCCTACCGAGGTTCGAAGTTTCATTGGATTAGCAGGGTATTACCGGAGATTCATTCAGGATTTTTCGAAAATTGCTGGACCCATGACTGAATTGACCAAGAAAAATAGGAAGTTTATATGGAGTCCTAAGTGTGAGGAAAGTTTTCAGGAATTGAAAAGACGGTTAACAAGGGCACCTGTGTTGGCTTTGCCAAACGGAAAAGATAGTTTTGTGGTTTACACAGATGCTTCTAAGGAAGGACTGGGTTGTGTTTTAATGCAAGATGGCAAAGTAATAGCATATGCTCTAGGAAATTGAAACCACATGAAGGGAATTACCCGACTCATGATTTGGAGTTAGCGGTGGTGGTCTTTGCTTTGAAGAAATGGAGACATTATTTGTATGGAGTAACATTTGAGGTTTTTACAGACCACAAAAGCCTTAAGTACTTGTTTTCTCAAAAGGAGCTGAATTTGAGGCAACGTAGATGGATGGAATTTTTGGAAGACTATGATTGTACTATCAAGTACCATCCAGGGAAAGCTAATGTAGTGGCCGATGCCTTGAGTCGTCAAGTACAAATGGCTGGATTGATGATTAAGGAGTTTCAATTATTGGAAGAAGTGAGTTACTGGAATCCTCGATTGGAACCAAGGAAGGTAATTTTGGGGAATATTATAGTAACTCCACTCTATTGGAACGCATCAAGGAATTTCAAGAAAAGGACACGGAAGTGCAAAAATGGGTGGAAAAGAGTAAAATGGAAGACAAGACAGATTTTAATTTGGGGTCAGATGGAATATTGAGGTTTCGGAATCGAGTAGTTGTGCCAAAGGATGAAGGGCTTAAAAGGAAATCTTAGAAGAGGCACACCGATCAAAGTTTACGGTACATCCAGGAGGGAATAAAATGTACCAGGACTTGAAGAGTCTGTATTGGTGGGAGAACATGAAGAAGGAAATTGCCCAATTTGTCCAAACATGTTTAATTTGTCAACAAGTTAAAGCCGAACATCAGAAACCGTCAGGACTTTTGCAACCCCTAGAAATACCTGAGTGGAAATGGGAAAATATCACTATGGATTTTGTATCGGGATTACCCAGAACGCAGAGAGGCCATGATGCAA